AGTGAAAGAAAGACCAAGCTAGCATGTCCAGTTTTCCCAACACTGAACAGTGTACCAAAAGGAGAGAAATAATGGGCACATGAGCTCAGAGCTTCTTGACATACAGAGGGTCAATTCTAAACCCAGCTAAGTGTCTGTTGTTGGTGTTTGTTTTTCCCAAAGCACCGTTCTGAAGGGTGGAGTAGGAAGACAGAGGCAAGAAGTTTTGTTTGTTGGAACTGAGCAGGTGACGAGGAAGTGTCTCATGGGATCACTTTAGGGAAGTAGGAAGCAAGTGAAGGTGGCTTCATCATAGCTCCTTGGAAGCCCACCAACATGGGTTACTTTTTCCTGGTTCCTTCTCTTCTCCCCCCATGTTCCCAATCTGCTCAGGAGATCTTGCCTCTTTCCACTTCTTTGGGGTATAATGCTTGATCAAATTCCCATCATAGCACCTTGGGAACACATGGAAGAAGACAAGTAAGGGTTTCTTAGTCTTAGCAAAATCAGGTATGATTTTTTCATGATTAACATAATGTATATGTCTATCACATGGTATCATCTGCATTAAGTATTTTACACGAGTCATGGAATTAAGGTTGCACAGTGACCATGCTGAATATATCTGTGATTGCACTTTCCATAGTCATCTGAGATGCAGAGAGAGACCATATTCATATAACTTATTACAATAGACTATAGTAATTTCTTCATTATTGTTGCTCCCTTACTGTACTTAATTTATAAATTAAGCTTTATTATATTTATGCTCATTAGGAAAATTTATAGAGAGAATAACTTTTAAACTCCTTTAGCACAGTAGGACAATTATGGCTGATAACAGTTAATTAAATATTTCATAACTCTAAACCATACAGTATTATGATCTAACATATGCCTAGAATGATCTAATTCATCTACACCATGATGGACTGCATTTTAGGAGCCCAAATAAACTCTTTCTCCCTTAAATTACTTTTTCATGTCAGGGGTATCATGAGCATAATAGGAAAAGTAACTGATATAGTAGAGAGTGGAAGCCCTGCTTTGGAAGTGGTCACACTTTCCTAGTACACAGAGCAATATCTTCCAAATGGGATCCTCTGGGAGGCAGCCATAGATTTAGTAAAGATAGGAAGGTCCTTATAGCACCTACCCAAATATCCTCCCAGAACTGCCTTGACTATGAGACTCTTCTGAGTAAAATCAGTCTTGTAGGATGAATTATGGATGATTTTTCTGAAAAGACTGACATTCACCAGTTGGTTTGACTGCATCACCATTGAAGTTTCACCTCTTAACTCTGCTTTTTTGTGCATATATACAAATGATTTTAGATTGTTTAGATTATAGTCACAGTGATCCTACTGTGTTTTCTTTTTTGTTGTTGTTCACATCTCATATTACTATGGTGCTAGTATGATTGACATGTGGTTCTTCTTCAAGTGCCTTCACTGTGGTGTGTCTTTGAGTATGATGGTGTTGGGAGATGGTGCCTGTCATCAGTAGACAGGCCGTTAATAGCGACTGCTGTTTTTCCCATGGGGAATGAATTAACTGTTGTGAATGGATCTTGTTGCCCAAAAGTAAGCTGTTGGGTAACAGGCCAGCAACTCCTCCTCCCTTTGGCACTTGTGTTCTTCTCCACATGCCTACTTCCCCTCTGCTGTTCTGCCATCTGCTGACCCAAGAAGAAGCCCATATCCCCACCAGAAGCTGAGCAAGTACAATATCATGCTCATAGATCTCTAGCACTATGAGTTCAATAAACAACTTCTTGTTGTTGGGTTTTGTTTAAATAAATTTTATTTAAATTAGAAACAATCTTATTGTACATATCAATCCCAGTTCTCTCTCCCTCTTATCCTCCAATGCCCTCCACCGACCCCTATCCCATCCCCCATCCACTCCCCAAGGAGGGTGAGGCCTTCTATGAGGGATCATCAAAATCTGTTGAGTCTTTTGTGGCAGGGCCTTGACCCTCCCCTGTGTATCTAGGCTAAGAGATTATCCCTCAATAGGAAATGTGCTCCCAAAGTCCATTCCAGCAATAGGGATACATCCTGGTTCCACTGCTAGTGGTCCCATAGACTGCCTAGTGCTCCTAGCCAACATCCACGTTCAGGGGGCCTGGTTTGGTCCTATGTTGGTTACCTAGCTGTCAGACTGGGGTCCATGAGTTCCCACTTGTTCAGGTCAGCTATTTCTGTGGGTTTTCCCAGCTTGGTCTTGACCCTTTTGTTCATCACTCCTCCCTATCTGAAACTGGATTCCAGGAGTTTGACTCACTGTTTGGCTGTGGATCTCTGCTTCTGCTTCCATCAGCTATTGGGTGAAGGCCCTAGGATGGTATTTAAGGTAATCATCATTCTCATTATAGGGAAGGGCATTTAAGGTTGCCTCTTCACTATTGCTTAGATTCCTAGTTGGGTCATCCTTGTGGGTCTCTGTACAATTCCCTGGTGCCAGATTTCTCTTTAAACATATAGTGGCTTCCTCTATTGATGTGTCTCTTTCCTTGCTCTCATCTATTCAGTTCTCCACTCAATCTTTCTGATCCCTCATGTTCTCTTTCCCCCTCCTTTTCTCCCTTCCTCTTTCTCCTACCTGCCTCCCTCCCCCCATGCTTCCAATTTGTTCAGGGGCTCTTGTTCCTTTCCCATTCATCAGGGGACCATGTATGTCTCTCTTACAGTCCTCCTTGTATCCTAGCTTTTCTGGAGGTGTGGATTGGTAATCCTTTGACTATGTCTAATATTCACATATGAGTAAGTTCATACCATGTTTGTCTTTCTGTGACTGGGTTATCTCACTTAGGATGATTTCTTCTAGCTGCATCCACTTGCCTGCAAATTTCAAGATTCCATTGTTTTTTTGTTTTGTTTTGCTTTGTTTTCTGCTGAGTAGTACTCCATTGTGTCAGTGTATCACATTTTCTGTATCCATTCTTTGGTTGAGGGGCATCTAGGTTACTTCCAGGTTATGGCTATTACAAATAATGCTGCTATGAACATAGTTGAACAGACGTTCTTGTTGTAAGAATGTGCATCATGTGGGTTTATGTCTAAGAGTGGAATTGCTTGATCTTGAGGAAGACTGGTTCCCGTTTTGTGGAGAAACCACCATACTGACTTCCAAAGTGGTTGTACAAGTTTACACTCCCACCAGGAATGGAGAAGCATTCCCCTACTCTAAATCTTCTCCAGCATAAACTGTCATTGTTGTTTTTGATTTTAGCCATTCTGACAGGAGTAAGATGGTATCACAGAGTTGTTTTGATTTGCATTTCCCTGATGGCTAAAGATGCTGAGCAATTTCTTAAGTGTCTTTCATCCATTTTAGATTCCTTTATTTAGAGTTCTCTATTTAGTTCTGTATTCCAGTTTCTAATTGAATTATTTGGTGTTTGTGGTGACTAGCTTCTTGAGTTCTCTGTATATTTTGGAAATCAGTCCTCTGTCAGATGTGGGGTTGGTGAAGATCTTTTCCTATTCTGTGGGCTGCCATTTGTTTTGACTGTGTCTTTTACCTTCAGAATCTTCTCAGTTTCAGAAGTACCATTTTTAATTGTCAATCTCACTGTCTGTGCTGCTGGTATTATAATCAGGAAGTGCTATCCTGTGCCAATTCTTTCAAGTGTACCTCCCACTATCTCTTCTAAGAGGTTCAGGATGTCTGGATTAATGTTGAGGTCTTTGATCCATTTGGACTTAAGTTTTGTGTATGGAGATAGATATGAACTTATATGCAATCTTCTACATGTCTGCCTCCAGTTATGCCAGCACCATTTGTTGAAGATGCTTTCTTTTTCCATTGTATAGTTTTAGCTTCTTCATCAAAAATCAGGTGTTCATAGGTATGTGGGTTAATATCATAGTCTTCAGTTCTATTCCATTGTCTACCTGTTTGTTTTTTGTGCCAATATGAAGTTGTTTTCATTAGCATAGATTTATAGTAGAGCTTGAAGTCAATCAGGGATGGTGATGCCTCCAGAAGTACCTTTATTATAAAGGGTTGTTTTGGCTGTCCTGGGTTCTTTGTTTTTCCATATAAAGTTGAGTATTGTTATTTCAAGGTCTGTGAGGAATTGTGATGGAATTTGATGGGGATTGTACTGAATCTGTAGTTTGCATTTGGTAAGATTGCCCTTTTTACTATATTGATCCTTCCTGTGCAAGAGCATGGGAGATCTTTCCATTTTCTGGTATCTTCTTTAATTTCTTTCTTTAATGACTCAAATTCTTGTCATATAGGTGTTTCACATGTTTGGTTAGAGTTATCCCAAGATATTTTATGTTGTTTGTGGATACTGTAAAGGGTGATGGATCTCTGATTTCTTTTTCAGTTGCTTTATTGTCTATATGTAGCACGGCTACTGATTTTTTGAGTTAATCTTCAATCCTGCCACTTTGCTTCAGGTGTTTATCGCTGTAGAAGTTCCCTGGTAGAATTCTTTGGGTCCCTTATGTAGACTATCATATCATCTGCCAATAGTGACAGTTTTACTTCTTCATTCACAATTTGTATCCCTTTGATCTTCTTTTGCTCTCCTAACGTATAATATTGAAGATATGTGGAGAGAGTAGACAACCTTGTCTTGTTCCTGATTTTAGAGGAATCACATTGAGTTTATCTCTATTTAGTTTGCTGTCTGTTGGTTTGTTGTATATTGCCTTTATTTTTTTCACAGCTTTAAAAGAGTCTTTACAAAGTCTGTGAGATTATATGCAACTGATGCCCAGTGGCTACGAAATAGCAACCCCACTGGCAGCTTCAGTAATTAAGAGTGGCATACAATCACAATGAATTTTCCCACACAAACCAAATGGGCAAATTAATACTAATCATTACTTGCAAAACAGCAACAGGTCTTATCTCTACTGCTTGAATCTAACTTAATCAATTACTGCTGGTTTAATCTGACATACGGGGTATTTTAATGAGTGACTATATAGAACATCAGCAGAGACCGGAATTCAACCAAAGGAAGGTAGCTCTGAGCCATAATCAGGCTCCCCGGGTTTCCAAATCCAGAGCTCTTGCAGACTGACAGAAGACTTTCTCAGACTCTCAAATATCATACATCTCCATTACGTAGGCTTTAGGCACCAAGCCAATGGCTCCCTTCATTTCTCCTACCCACCAGCCATATCTATTGTATTCCTTGCTAAGGATGTAAATCACATCACCACGCTTAAAGGACAACTCGTCAGAAAAGGATCCAGTACAGTCCCACAGACCCTGGTAAAAATGAGCATAATCAGTGCTTCTATCTCCGGAGGTGTGGTGTGTGCTGTCCTGACTCCCCTTCCCTTGCTCGTCCATCTTCCCCGAATCGACGTCATCATATAATTCTCCTCTTTTGTCATCATCCTCTGGAATCACATCCGATCCCATGTCTTGTAATATAAATTTCAGCTGCTGGACCCATTCCTCAGCATCTTTGGGAGAAGCTGCTGTAAACTGATAGACACGTTTATCAGGAGCACAGATTTCAAAACAGCAATCTTTCTTTCCATCCTTTCTGAGGGTGTTATTCATTCTGACATCATAGCCCTCTATTGCAAATTCACCTTTCTGTTGTTTGTCTTTATCACTCCCGTAATAATAGAAGACGGTTTTGCTGAGAGCACACCACTGTTTCTGCCATTCAAACCCCAGGAAGCTGTGATCTTTTCTACGTTTTTCCAGGTAGCCAGCCTTTAGGACAAAAGGAAGGTCCTGGGCTGCAATCAGAGGAAACTGGTTTCCATCAGAAGGGCCATCGTCATCTTTATCGTAGCGTTCTGAGGCTAAGGAAATAGTGTCTGGAGGCCCAGCAAAAGGATCATCATATTCATCTCCCTCATCAGCATCACATTTGTCTTGAAATTCCTGAAGATAGATAGATTTTACATCTTTTATCTTCTTAATGAGAGATTCTCTCTTTTCCTTTGCTTTCTTGGATAAATTTTCCCCTTTCAGTGTGTCTGCTACAAATGTTTCAACATCTGCCAGCAGGTTCCTAATTTCCTCAGGGAGGGGGCCGGGACAGGACGTGCTGCTGGGGTTGGGCATGGCCGTGGCTGGGACCTAGACTCCCACGAGCCGTCCGGGTGAGCACGGTGAGGCTACGAGCCGGGACACTGCCAGGCCAAGACTCACAACAAGAAAGTCACTGGCTCTCCAGCCAGCAGTAGCTGAACGCCGGGCCCTTTATATTGCCTTTATTATGTTTGGTATGTTCCTGTTATACCTGGTCTCTCCAAGACCTTTATCATGAAGGGTTGTTGGATTTTGTCGAAGGATTTTTCAACATCTAGTGAGATGGTCATATGGTTTTTCTTTTTCAGTTTGTTTATGTGGTGGATTACATTAATGAATTTTCCTATATTGAATCATCCCTTCATCTGTTGGACGAAGCCTACTTGATCATGGTGGATTATTTTTCCGATGTGTTCTTAGATTTTATTTGTCAGTATTTTATTGAGGATTTTGCATCAATGTTCATGAGGGATATTGGTCTGTAGTTCTCTTTCTTAGTTGTGTCTTTGTGTGACTTGGGTACCAAGGTGATTTTAGCCTCCTACCAAGGTAATCGTAGCCTCGTAAGAAGGCTTCTATTGTGCAAAACACTTTGAGGAGTATTGGTATCAATTTTTCTTTGAATTTCTGGTAGAATCCTGCACTGAACCCATCTGGCCTTGGCCTTTTTTTTTGGTTGGGATACTTTTGATGACTGCTTTTATTTTGTTAGGTGTTATAGGTCTATTGAAATTGCCTATCTGTTCTTGATTTAATTTTGATAAGTGATATCTATCCAGAAATTTGTCCATTTCCTTTAAACTTTCCAATTTTGTGGAGTATACTTTTTCAAAGTATGACCATACTCTTTTCTGAATTTCCTCATAGTCCTTTGTTATGTCCACCTTTTCATTTCTGATTTTGTAAATTTGCATGTTCTCTCTCTGACTTTTGGTTAGGTTGGAAAAAGGTTTGTCTATTTTGTTGATTTTCTCAAAGAACCAACTCTTTGTTGCATTTATTCTTTGTATTGTTTTCTTTGTTTCTACTTAATTGATTTCAGCTCTCAATTTGATTATTTTTGGCATCTATTCCTTCTGGGTGAGTTTGCTTCTTTTTGTTCTAGAACTTTCAGTTGTGTTGTTAATTCTCTAGTGTGACTATTATCCAGTTTCTTCATGTGGGCACTTAGTGCTATGAACTTTTCTCTTGGCACTGCTTTCAGAGTGTCCCATAGGTTTAGGTATGTTGTTCCTTCATTTTAATTGAATTCTAGGAAGTCTTTCATTTCTTTCTTTATTTTTTCCTTTACCCACAAGTGATGCAGTTGAGTACTGTTCAATTTGCTTGAGTTTGTAAGGTTTCTGCAATTTGTGTTGTTGCTGAATTCTAATTTTAAGCCATGGTTGTCCAATAAGATACATGGAGCTATTCCAATTTTTTGTACCTATTGAAGTTTGCTATATTGTCAAGTATGTGGTCAGTTTTAGAAAATGTTCCATGAGGTGCTGAGAAGAAGGTATATTTGTTTTTGTTTGGATGGAATGTTCTATAGATGTCTGTTAAACCCAATTGGGTCAAAAGTTCTGTTCGTTCCATTGTTTCTTTGTTAAGTTTCTGTCTGGTGGTGCTGTCTAGTGGTAACAGTGGAGTGTTGAAATCTCCCACTATAAGTGTGTCAGGTTTACTGTATGATTTGAGTTTTAGTAATTTTTTTATGAATGTCTTTGTATTTGGGGCATAGATATTCAGAATTGAGACTTCATCTTGATGTATTTCTCCTGTGATGAATATGAAATGATCTTCTTTATCTCTTTTGACAAATTTTAGTTTAAAAATCTAATTTGTTAGATATTAGGATTGCTCCACCCACTTGTTTCTTGGGTCCATTTGATTGGAAAATCTTTCCCAATCCTTAACTCTGAGGTACCGTCTGTCTTTGAAGTTGAGGTGTGTTTCTTGTATGTAGCAGAAGGATGGATTCTGTCTTCCTATCCATTCTGTTAACCTGTGTCTTTTTATAGGCTAGTTGAGACCATTAATATTGAGGAATATTAAGGACCATTGATAGTTAATTCTTGTTTCTTTTTGGTTTTGTTTTCTTTTTTTTTTTTTGGTGCTGTTGTTGGTATTGTGTATGGTTCCGCCCCCTCCCTTTTTTTTTCTTTTGGATGCTGGTATAGTGGGATTATCTATTGCTTGTGTTTTTGGATGTAGTTAACTTTCTTGGGTTGGAGTTTTCCTTCCACTACACTCTGTAGGGTTGGCTTAGTGGATATGTGTGTGTGTGTGTGTGTGTGTGTGTGTGTGTTTTTGGTTTTATGAAACAGGGTTTCTCTGTGTTGTTTTGGAGGCTGTCGGTCCAGCCCGGCCTCGAACTCACAGAGATCCGCCTGCTTCTGCCTCCCGAGTGCTGGGATTAAAGGCGTGTGCCACCACCGCCCGGCTGGATATGTGTTTTTTTGAAATCTGGTTTTGTCATGGAATACCTTTATTTTTCCATGTATAGTGGTTGAAATCTTTGCTGGGTATAGTAGTCTGGGCTGGTATCTGTGGTCTCATAGTGTTTGTAGAACATCTATCCAGGACCTTTAGGTTTCAGAGTTTCCATGGGAAATTCAGGTATTTAGGTGTATTTCTGACAGGTTTGCCTTTATACGTTACTTGGTCTTTTTCCTTTGCTGCTCTTAATAGTGTTTCTTTATTCTACATGTTTGGTGCTTTGATTTTTATGTGCTGAGGGAATTCCTTTTTTTTTCTTTCTGTTTTTTTTCCAGTCTATTTGGTGTTCTGTAAGATTCTTGCACTTTCATAGGCATGTCCTTCTTCAGGTTCAGAAAGTTTTCTTCTATAATTTTGTTGAATATGTTTTTTGCACTTTTGAGCCTGGCTTCTTTGCCTTCTTCTATACATATTATTGTTAGGTTTGGTCATTTCATGGTATCCCATATTTCCTGGATATTTTGTGTTAAGGATTTGTTGAACTTAAGATTTTCTTTGTTCAATGAATCTATTTCCTCTAGTTTATCTTCAGCACCTAAGAGTCTCTCTTCCATCTCTTGTATTCTGTTGGTTATGCTTGCATCTGTAGTTCCTGATCATTTACCCAGCTTTTCTATTTTCAGCATTCCTTCAGACTGTGTTTTCTTTATTGTCTCTATTTCAGTTTTCAGGTCTTGAACTGGTTGAATTGTTCCCTTCATCTGTTTGATTGTTTTTTCTTGACTTTCTTTAAGAGATTTGCATTTTTTGTTTTTTGTTTTTTCCATTTCTTTAAGGAATTCTCATATTCTCTTTGAGGGCCTCTATCATTTTCATGAAGTTGTTTTTAAGGTCATATTCTGCTTCATCTGTGTTGGGATGTTCAGGTCTTGCTGGTGTAGAATCCCTAGACTCTGGTATGTCATATAAATCTTTCTGTTGTTGAATGTGTTCTTATACTTTCGTCTTCCCATCTCTTTTTCCAGTGGGTATAGGTGGAATTTCTCACTCTGCTGTTGGGTATGGGTTCAAGGCTCTGTACTCTTCTGGAGGGTGCAGGGGAAAGGAAGGAATGTCAACTGATGATGGATGCTTTTTTTCTGCCTCCTGTTCCCCCCTTTCTCTACCAGAGGATGGATTGGCAAGACAGGAATGGTGGCCAATGTTGGATTCTTTGTCCTGCCTGCAGGTCCTTCTTGGGGATTTGGTGTTAGGAAGGTTCTGGTGGCAGCAGGTTAGGGACTCGAAGAGGAAAATGTAGACTGAAAGAGCCCCTGTCACTCACCTCTTTATATATATATCCAACATTTTATCATAGCAACATTCAAAAGCCAGAGACAGGTTTGCTTGTAATACCTAATAAATAAATATACCATTGCACTTTTGAGGTTTTCAAGGAAAAAATTCAGTTTTGTTTTGTTTTCTAGTTAATCACGCTAGACTGTTACCTTCCTTTGAAAGTAACTCTTAAAAATATAAATGTTTGTCTGAGACCTTTAGCTTAGCAAAGAAGTTTCAAGACTAAAGTAAAAAGTTGCCTGATTTCCCACAAGTACATGCGACAGAAGATTTACATGCTTGGTAAGTGATGGTGGTCTCCAATAGAGACCGCTCAGAATCTCTAGAAATATGCTATGTAGCAAAGAGAATGACACAGAACTATGACACTGCTCCTGAAGTCATCATCAGTGAGTAGCTGGAAGGAATTCATGCCAAAGCAAAATGCAGAGACTTGCTCTCCTCCTTTGCCACCCCCTCTCTCTTTAACCATCTCCTTAAGGGGAAAACCCAAGATCTAGTTTTGTGAATTTTATGTTTCAGATGACAAACTTCTGCTTATATGTTTCACCATAGCTGAAATAGTCACTTGCTTTGGATGAGACTGAATGTTTTCAGACACACTTGTCTTGCAAAGGGTCAAATGTGGAATGCTGTTGGGTCCTCTGATGGACTGTGGTTCTCTAGGGTGCAGATTACTTGAATTCTTGTCTTTGTATCAGTTATCTATGGTAGCTTTGAGGTAAGGTACTGGCTGTAGAAGCATGAGGTCTGGGGTTAAAGAGCAGCCTGGACATACATACATATATATATATTTATATATATACACACACACTCAATTATGTGTTAAAAATTAGTTATCTTTACTGTGATATTCAACATTAAGAGCTATTTCTCTTGCCCAGCTCTATTTCCCCAAAATGCTGAATGTGTGAGCTGATGAATCAGGCACCCTGATGAGATCACTGCGGTGTCTGTGTGTGTGTGTTTGTGTGTGTTGTTTCTGTTATATTGTTGTCTCTAACTATAGATAATTACTCTGTCAAATGTATTTAAAGAGAATTTGTAGACTTGAAGACTTTACAGTGAAGGGTAAAAAATAGTTTAGTCATGTGATCTGTTTCTCTTTTTCCTAGGCATTTAGATGATCTATTTAAAAAGGTAACCAAAAAAAGTGATTAACCTCCATTGTACGGATTTCAGGTCACTTTAAACAAATCCTATATGCCATCATGCAGCCACCTGAAACATTCTCAACTTTAAAATTGCAAACTTTCCTGAAACACTAAAAAAGTCTTTTCTGTCTTAAAGTTC